TCCCCTTTCCTTTTTCATCATTTTTCTATATCTATCTTCTTTGTTCCATCATAACTTTTCCTCCCCACCCTTCCCTCTTCCCCTCACTTCACCCTTAATCCTACTATTGTCTCCCTCATCTTCTCTTTCATTCTATCTATTTGCTCCTTTGCCTCATTAGCCGCTCTTCTATTTCCTTCTACTCCTTTCGCCCATTGCTTTCTCCATGATGCTCTCTTCTTCTCGTCTCAATTTGCTCTCTTCCTCTTTTTCTATTCCGCGCTCTCTTTTGTTTCTTCGCTTCCTCTTTCCTTTGCTCCGGTGATACATCTTTCTTGCTCCCTCTAAACACTTCGAACCACTCTTTCTCTTTTGCTTCTTTCGTCTTTTTACTCCATAGGCTCATCTCCGACCGCGTTAGGGACTTGGGCGCGTCAACAACGAGGAGGAATTCGTCCCTCCCAGCCGCTTCACTAATGGCTCACCTACCTACTAAAAAACTGGCATATAGACCTACGCCACAGATATACGTATATCTGTGCCTACGCTATTGTTATTATGATTTTGTAGACTTGAATTTATAGGGATAATCTTAAATACTCGTAGAAAAACGTGTAAACACGAGAACGTTAATTGGAATTCTTGATTTTTTTTTCATTACCTAGTATACGAAAAAAGTTGTGATAATTTTCTGTTTGAATTTACGAACAAACCCATAGAAAAATCAAGTACCTATTGCAGGCAGATTTCAGGAAACTGGAAAGAGAAGAAATCTACAATGAATCCATCACTATCATAGTAAAATTTCATATAGAGCTAGCCGTGGACCAAGTAATGGTAATGTTGGTTAAGGAATTTGCGAGTTTATTTAGACATTAAAAATTTTAATTTCGAAAAGGAAAAGTTCAACCCTTCTTATGCAAATACGTTGTAAAGGGTTGTCAGGTTTTTCCGGTAGCACTTTCACTTTGAAACGGGGCATTGTTATTGTAACCTAATTTTTGTAAACAAATAATTCATATTTTTGCAAATGTAGGACGCCGTTTTACTGTATTGATGAAAATCCTATAATAACGTTAGTCTTATGTAAGTAATAAAGTAGTCTTATTGAGGAGAAATATTGGTATAAAGAGTAGCAGCCTCCATTATACATTCATTCGGTATTGTCAAGGCACCCTTATGAAAAAAAAACCGTGAATGAAACATCTCACACTTCTGGGGCTGGATGGAGTTATTAAAAGCTTCCACATGGCGCCTGAAAGCGTCAGGGAATAAGTGGCACTGAAAGTATCAATCCTGAAAAATCTACATCATCTTGATTCCTACAACGTAAGGTAAATTAAGTCGATTTTTCTTTCATCTCGTTCGAATCGCTGTTGTAGTGTTAAGTAGAACGCTTAACCAGCCATGATTGATCACCTCCACTGAAGTGCCTATTATAGCGATTACCAAAACCTGCGAAACACAGTATCAAATGTCACGATGTTTACTCTTTTTATATAAAAATTGCCCCGATAAAATATAATGCATCGCCATTTGCTCGACAAACTTCCTACCTCTTAAGATCGTAATTTAGACGGTGCCTTTCTAGCTTACAAGTTGAGGTATTCGCCATTTACCGAATCAATCGGATGATTGATCTTCGCGAGAACAAATTTTCAGCCTCCTTCGTAGTACGTAGTAAATAAAGTCATTCTCGTCGAATCCAGTGGCACCCTTCGCGCGTCAAAATGAAATATGTACATCTCGAGGGCTTTCTGAAAGGGTAGCCTCAAAATACTGAGTGGCAGCCGTCAAGTTTTCGAATATAGATTTATCATTATTAGCGACGCCGCCTGCCCCTTGGCGCTACGGAAATTTATTTATATGGTAAACCTTTTGTTCATGCATGTAAGGTTGTTAGGAGGAGTGTTACACGTCGTATATATTGTTCGGTGTACGCTTTACGTTCCTGAAGGGGTTAATATTGTTAGATTTTTACGAGTCGAGGAGCAAGTTTTACTGCATTGAATTTTATTATGAATTCGATTTGAAATTTATGACTCAAGTATAACGTGCTTAGTGGAAATTGCTTTATTTTTTTTACAATCGGGATATAAACTTATGAAGTGGAGGTCCCCTTCCGAATTGGTTTAAATTGCATTTTATGCAGTTTTAGGAAGTATGACTAAACATTGTTTGGCGATGTCTTTTTCTTTGGTCTTGTTAAATGGCCAAACTAGATATTGTAACGTAAATTTAATTACGTGATTTTACTTATTTACAATTAACTTACAATAAATTTATTTAACAGTAACTATAATTTATCGCTAACAATAACTCAAGCGCATTGAAGTTGGAACTGACTCGCAACACAATTCGGTTTAGTTTATATAGCGAACAACATTATTTCTAGAATGTTCTCGAGTTCTCAAGGACGCTTTAGAATGACAAACACGTCATATTTCTCGGAAATATCAGCCGATGACTCATTTCTCGCCTCGATGTCTATTGGGTTTTCTAGAATATTCGCTACAATATCTTACCCTCAGTACGATGCCCTCGGTATAATCCCACAGTTTTATGAATATACGAAAATCTTTCCAGATAGAAGGTAGGGAAGCTCTTGCTCGTTCAGTAAAAATAAAACATTGAGACAGTGCTGCCAATTGTGCTAACTAACAGAATTTATGTGAATCAATACCGGCACCTTAGGGGTCGTTTTGTTACAGCTTATACCTATATACCTGCTTTAAATCGTACAAACTCCATTTCAACTTTGTTATCCCGTTACAATTTCCTCCGCTTGTATCGAAATCGTGCAGATAAATTTTGGGAATACTAATCAAGGTACCATGCGGGAATGTGCTGTCGTCACCATCTCGGCTGTTAGTAAACAGCGGGGTCGTTAAATTTCATATTCCCTCACTTGAATATTGTTAACTGATCCCAACCGAGTTACCCTCCCTAATTGCTTACCTACATAAAATTAACTCCATTACCACGTATACCAATGGAAAAATCGAGAACTTACGTCCAAAGGATATCTAAAGGTTTTCCTCATAATTGGATTGGAGCTTGTAAGCGCAATTAACATCGTTAAAAATTGCAATTTAATTTGAAACAATTCCAGTATAAAAGTTCGTGGTTCACCGAGCCGATCGTAATAATATACAAATTGCACTGCACGGGAAAGCTCGCGTTTTACAATTATGGAGCGATAAGTCGGTATTCCAGAGATGTTTAACTTCGCTCCGAATTGAGATTGAAAACAAACACTTCCGTTGTTTCAAATTTAAATCGGCAATTAAAATTAATGAACGTTACAATGTGCATCCTCTTACAGTTTGAGTTTCTTAAATTAATAGACGCATTCCATCATTCTCTGGGTTTTAGGTGTAGCTGGGCCTTTTCAGAGATAAAGTCGATAATACATTAAATAATAATTAAAAAATAGCATCAAATGATGATTCCCCCAGTTATAAACACGAAATTAGACCTTTAATGTTATTTTAACATGCGCTTCGGTGGAATTTGGCACTCCACGTAAACAATAGCTTCGTTGTAGCGTTTGTAATGTAAGATTTTCGGAAAAGTCGCGAAAAATAGAAGTTTTAAAACGATTCCCCCGAAAAACTTCCGCTATGGTAAAATCGGAAGGATTTTTTTTTGCGGCAAATTAACGTGGGTTTCCTTTGGAACTATTATTTAGACCGAATACCCTCAAAAACTTCTCGTACTAGTCGCTTCCGATTTTTATTCAGCAAAAAAAATGTTCCCGTTCACTCGCAATTCACATTTTAGTGGATTTCGATTAAAAAAAGTAGTCTCTGGTTTGACTACAAACAAATAAATACGAATTTCCAAATAAAGTTGATCAAATTCCCTTCTCTTTTCTACTTTTTCTGACTTAGAATATTAATTTGCTTCTTGTTCCTGTACAGAAAAATAAAACCTCATGGAAATTATTTACACAAAATATTTATACACGCCTTATAGCTAAACAAAATGTGCATACAACGGAATGAAGTATGGGTTCCCAACTAATGAAAAAATAGAACCAAATTTTGTATCGATCCAATTATAATAAAGAAATGCAATACAAATCTGTTCCATTCAATGAACCTCTACAGATCTATCCTTTTAAGGATGTTACAATTAATTACGTCACATAAGCATCCGCTGGAATCGGAGATGTTCTTTAGGTTATGAATAGTACGGTCCTCCCTTGAAAAAGGCCACCTTTAAGAAAAATTGAAAACTGGATCGCTTTTAGGGTGATACGGAAGAGATATTTTCAGAAAATACTTCAATGTAAGCTCGGAGATTCTTAGCCTCCTGTCCCATTTAAGGGACTCCGAGATTCGGGGACATTGAAGTTTTCAAGGGAAAGATAATCCAAGTGGTTTCCCGTTGCTTTTTTGGATCACAATTTAGTTGAAAAGGTCGTATTTGGACCTTCTCTTAGGTAACAGCCAGGAGGAAATTAAATGGCCATAGCACCCTTAGCAACTTGGCATTGGAAATTGGTGTACCATATGGGCCATCTTTCGGACCGTTGCTGGTGGCACTGTTTTTGTTATTTCAATTGAATATTATTTAACAAAAAACAAGTTTTTGTCTGTGTTGCACGGATAATTTAGCAGTTTGCCTATGTACCTGAAATTGAATTGTTATATTATGCGAATAGACCCGCGCTTATTATCTGCGAAATGTGGGTTATTGTGAGTTTCCGTAAAGTAATAGATTTTAATTTGCCGAAACCTTTCCTAATTATCTTGAGTAGTAGTTTAATTAATATTAGCAGTAAAATATATGACTTCTAAAATTAGTTGGAACATCTTAATTCGTACCCGTCTGAAACACATAATCGTCAAGATGAAGCCAAAGTAATTATAACTTTCCGTTTTGAGTTTCAACGAGTCTCGCGCTCTGCCGTTGTTTCATTTTATCGTCCGGATTTTCGGTTTATGCTTAATTTAGTTCGATACAGAAAAGCGCTTGTAGGACATCAATTTTTTACTCTTCCCTTTTTGTTACAGTTTGTATCGCATTTCCTGGCATGAACGATCTGGATATAACAAGCAACGAGAAGCTTCCAACCTTCGTTACACCGGGACAAACTTATCGAATTGCTACGGGAAGCACCGTTGTTTTACCTTGTCGTATTACGGATCCAGGTCAGTATGTTTGACTACCCTAAGTAAACTGTAACTGTACACAATAGCGACCGTTTCAATACGCCACCCTTAATCGTTCTGTCAATCGGGTACGTCGTTGAATTACTGTCACTTTATAAGAAATCGATATGGGTTACACGAGAACGCTATGCTGGATGTGAATTATAGACCCTGCTAAATTAGAATAAGGATTAAGAGTTAAGTCGTTACGTTAAAGGAGTAATTAAACCCATTTTGCAATTGAGATTTGGTGGGATGGTTAAATTTAAAGTTATTTTAAAAGTAATTTATTATGTTAAATACAATTTGGAAAGGCAAATAATTAATTAACTTTAAATGCCGTGTAGTATATAAAACGTGAATTAGACTTTGATTAATTACTTAAAACTTTACCCCATAATGAACTGGGAGGGTGACGTTTTCCTTTGTAGACTCAGATTTACGTTTCACATTAGATACCTACTTTTCAATGCGTCTACGGTTTGCTGCACACGGACAGAGATCCTTATTTTGACAACTGGGAGGGAGAACAAAATCACTAGTTGATGAAGGTGACACCTTAAAAATACTTTTCTTTGATTTTCTCTGCTTTAGAAAGCTATCATGGAGATCTCGGAAACCTTAGAAGATACGACCGTGGTCAAATTATAGAGGATACGCAATTAAAGAGTTATATCATTCTTTAAAAACAATTCCGATAACTTGCGAAGATGTGCCAGAAAAACCAAAATTTGACCTTTAATTTTTAATTTTTAATTTATTCTGATGCTATTTAAACAGACAATGAAATAAAAAAAAAAACTTTCTGATTGCCACCTTTTGACTATGGGACAAATTTCCTGGAAAGTAGGAAATTTTTCCGATAAGTATTATCACAGACAACATATACTTGTTGTCTGTGGTATTATTCTCGCGCTGCTTCTTTTGTGAATTTGTATTAGGTGCTGTTTTCGCACTTTCTGTATTTGTTTCTTCCGCAAAATAAGAATAGTGTTTTCTACCTCGTCCTTGATGATAACTGAAACCTCGACCTCTGGTTACAAGACTTATACTGCCTTCCTTTTTTTCCAAAAATCGACTGCACCAAAATTTCTCGGGAAAACACTTTTTCTTATTAATTTTGGTGCGTAGAATCCAAAACAATTCGTACTTTTTTGATCAGACTTCTCAATCAAAAGTTATAGACTAGAAACCAATTTCGAAAGAAAATTCAAAGGGCTGTAACTTTTGAACTAGTAGCCCAATCTTGGAACTGTTTAAAATTATGGATTCTACAGGCCACATTCTATAAGGAATTTTTTTTCCGGGTCGATCTGAGACACTTTTCTTTTGGAGCCTCAAAAAAAGGCAGTTATTTACCTTCCTTTTTTACCAAAAATCGACTGCACCAAAATTTCTCGGGAAAACACTTTTTCTTATTAATTTTGGTGCGTAGAATCCAAAACAATTCGTTCTTTTTCGATCAGACTTCTCAATCAAAAGTTATAGACTAGAAACCAATTTCGAAAGAAAATTCAAAGGGCTGTAACCTTTGAACTAGTAGCCCAATCTTGGAACTGTTTGAAATTATGGATTCTACAGGCCACATTCTATAAGAAAATTTTTTTTCCGGGTCGATCTGAGACAATTTTTTTTGGGGCCTCAAAAAAAGGCAGTGTATAACCTTCCTTTTTTACCAAAAATCGACTACACCAAAATTTCTCGGGAAAACACTTTTTTTTATTAATTTTGGTGCGTAGAATCCAAAACAATTCGTACTTTTTCGATCAGACTTCTCAATCAAAAGTTATAGACTAGAAACCAATTTCGAAAGAAAATTCAAATGGCCGTAACTTTTGAACTAGTAGCCCAATCTTGGAACTGTTTGTAATTATGTATTCTACAGGCCACATTCTATAAGAAAATTTTTCGCGATCTTCTTCCTCCAAACGACGCGTGATGGCGAAATACCTACTGCTTGGGTATTTTATTTAATACACCAAAATATATAATTTAACAAGTGTTTTTATTTTCAAACACTCACAAAATTCAAAAAAGTTTATACAATATTAAAAAAAACATAAAAAACATAAATTACTGGTAATTTTCAGTTTATTCGCTCAGCATTTTTGTTATTGTATTCAAAGTTATTTCTATAGAGCTGGTGCTTATTTTTATAGTTTCTAAATTGCGAATTCGTAAAAGTAATTGTTTGTATTCCTCCCATTTTTCATGGAATTATAAGGATGTCGTTGGTTACCTCTACCACAGATTTAAATATACTTAAATCTGTGGTATTAGTTAAATGATGATGTATAAATTCAAGTAGGTTGACACAAATACTTCGATTAACTTGAAAGCCAATTTCCACTCTCTTGCTTGATGCGCTTGAATTTTAAATGAGTTAGGTCAAGTATTTTGAAAATCAAGTTAAGTAGTGAAGCCCTTTACTTAAAGTGTTACTTTACATTGACTGTGTAAAGTTAATATCGAAATTTCAGCACACGGTGCAAAGTCGTGGATTCGTCACAGCTCCCAAAATATTATATGGTTTCATTCACTCCCACATACGGCCGTCATCGATTAATGTAAAAAAACTGTCGCGAAATGGGGCGTAATAGAGCGAGGTTTGAAGCTCTACACACGGAAAATTTTTGTATTCCCGCTGTTTCTCTATTTAACGACCCTGTATTTCTCTGCTTCCGTACAATTTCGTGTAATTACACGGAAGAACAAAAAAGTATATGAAATTTATGAACGTCATAAATCATCGTATTAACACCCTCGAAAATTCGGGGGGGGCTATTTATACTAAAACTTTATTTACCGCTCTTAAGGTGAGCTGGGGGTTAGCGATCCCATAAAAACCAATTTTGTCGGAAGACAAGGAAATGCAACGGGTTTAACTGAAATCCTAGGATGCTTTAACGATTTATGCTAAACGTCCCTTCTTATCTATTCGCTATCGTTGCATATTAAACCCAATTGGACACAAATGCAAAATTTTTCTGCTCATATGTGTTTGAAGGGTAACTTTAGTTTAGATATGATCTTTCATCTTGCAGGAAGTTTCGTATTAGTATGGAAGCGTGGAATAGCTGTTCTGACAGCAGGTCCCGTTAAAGTGACACCAGATCCCAGAGTTCGTTTACTTCCGTCACCAGCTGGCACATCAACTTTGCCGGGAATACCGGGACTCGCCGGGGGCGGATACAGTTTAGAATTAAAAGACGTGAGGCCTCAGGACGCCGGAGATTATGTTTGTCAAATTGGTACCATGGAACCGAGGGAAATTACACACACGCTCGAAATTCTGGGTGAGTTTTTTTTATATTTTATTTCAATTGCTAAAGTTAAGGTCAGATGTATCGCTCCCACATAAATTCCTATATAATGACACCCTTTACGTTATTACTCTTTAATGTGTCGCAACTAAGGCAAGTTTTTTCCTCTCTATACGGCGAATTGGTTTTCAATTTGTCATGCAACTGATGTTTATATTGCATGACCGAGGGAATAATACGAAAACGTACCAACCCAAACAAATGACGCTAATTGCAAATATAAAGCGCGCGAGGGTTTCGAGATGATCTAAACTTCACAGAGAAGCTTCCCACCGAATCCACAACTTGTAGCAGCTTTGAGGTACGAATTAGAACGGAAAGATTAAGATATTAACTATATCCGTTCACATGCGATTACGGTGATTAAAACTTCACTTGATCACCGCCAAAATTGTAAGTTAGACGGTAAAATAATTCCTCCTTGGGGAGTTTAGCCCTAGATACTACCTTGCGAACAGTTCTAATTACGCATATAGATTGCGGGACAATTCCAGCGTGAAGTTCCGGCGAAATGGAATCCATAACTAATGTTAATAAATGTGACGGTCTCAATAAAAATATCTCCATCAGTTGGGGTAGCTGAATATCACTTAATCCGCCATATCTAAAAAAAACAGCTTAACATTGTTCTGCTTTTGTAGTCTAAATTCTCGATTCTTTGGCATTATGAAGAGAACTTCTGTACTTAATAAAATTATCAAGTCCTCGTGTGAGATCGAAGGGACGTCAGCGCATTTTCGTGTGGCAGATAAGTATTCTACGAACCAATTTTGATTCCATCAGCAATAAAGTCTTGTCGAAGACTACCACATTCCCTTTGTCGGTACCCGTTGCCATCTCGTTCACTAGCATTTCGCATTTGAAGTTTTTCCGGGGCTACCACATTCCCTTTGTCGGGAGCATACAATGAGGTTGTTTAACCACACCCGAGCTACAAACCCCAAGCGCACAGAGTGCTGGGTTGAATACAGAACGTATCCCCCACGCGGTATTAGGCTAGTCAAAAACAAAAAAGTTATTGAAATTTATATGATTTGTCGCATTGGTGTAACTTGGAAAAAAATGGCCGCCATCTTGATTTTTTTCGAATTTATTAAATATTTCGTAAAGTATACATTATATCAAAAAAGAACTCAAGAGACTTTTTTTATGGAGAATCAAAAGTTACCTATGATAAAAAAAAGTTTAAGTCTATTGATCAAAAAACAAAAAAGTTATTGAAATTTATATGATTTGGGTAATTATGTGTCGAGATTTAGATGTATTTCAAGAACTTAATGCAGATATAGCAGTTTTGATTAAATCAGGACTTAAAATTATTTTAAATCTGTACCGGTGTCCAAAGAAGATTCATGATATTAACCAGTTACGTCACACACTATACAGGGTGGTGACTTGCGTAACGCATCATAGGGATTTCAATGTAAAATTCATAACATGCGATTATTGGCTCCCCAAATTATTTTAGAGCAAAAATGTATTAAGGTTTTTTGTAGGAAAAATTTTTTTACGGCAATCAACCGTATTAGTTTTCAATTTTTTGCATAATAAAGACGGAAAATTGGAAAATTAAAACCCCCATCTTTTTCAATAACCTGTGAAGCCATGGAATTTTATAATAGAAAAACTACGCCAATATCCGTCATGCCATGGAATGTCTGGTATAAAACAAATCAAATTCTATCAAAAAGTGTTATATTTGGAACAGCGAATTCAACATAAAAAAAGACCAAATTACTAAAAACGGTTTCCTAATATAACAATTTACAATAAATGTTCGAATAAGTAACTGCAAGACAGTAACCAAGTCGATCATAAAATCCATTTCGAACTGCTGCTAATTGATAACTGAATATCTTTTTGTTTTAGAAAATTCCATGGCATCGCAGATTATGGGTTTTATTTTTCCAATTTTCCGTCTTTATATGAAAAAAATTGAAAACTAATACGGTTGATTGGCGTAAAAAAATGTTTTCTACAAAAAAGCTTAATACATTTTTGCTCTAAAATAATTTGGGGAGCCAATAATCGCATGTTATGAATTTTACATTTAAATCCCTATGATGCGTTACGCAAGTCACCACCCTGTATATGCGAATGACTTCAAGGCAAAGCTTAAATTCAGAATTGTGTTTAGCCTCACTACCACCAACCGAAGAAGCTGCCAAACAGCACATTAATATCATGAATCTTTTTTTTAATTGATGTATTGCTCCATGTGAATTATTTGGATATATTTAATGTAGCAGGTAAGTAGAGGGAAGCAAATAATTGAATTTTTTTTATTTTCTTTAGGTAATCGATTTCGAAGCTCACTTCATCATCAGACCTTGCTAAAATATATAAACGGCTCTAGTGAGCCGATAACCTAAAGAAAATAAAAACATTCAATTATTTGCCTCCCTCTACTTACCTGCTACGTTAAATCATGAATCTTCTTTGGACACCGGTACAGATTTAAAATAATTTTAAGTCTTGATTTAATTAAAACTGCTATATCTGTATTAAGGTTTTGAAATACATCTAAGTCTCGACACAGATGTGAATAATTACCCAATTATTGAGTATTTTACTTTAAAATCCTTATTTTCAAAATTGGGCATACAAAACAGTTTTAACTAATTCAGATATTTACCAAATTTAAAAAAATCCATATTGCCAAATCATATAAATTTCAATAACTTTTTTGTTTTTTGATCAATAGACTTAAACTTTTTTTTATTATAGGTAACTTTTGATTCTCCATAAAAAAAGTCTCTTGAGTTTTTTTGATATAATGTATACTTTACGAAATATTTAATAAATTCGAAAAAAATCAAGATGGCGGCCATTTTTTTCCAAGTTCCACCAATGCGACAAAGTGCGATTTTTAAGGGGTTAATAAAGACCCTATTGGGTACTCATTTCCGCAGAGATCACTTTGTTACTAATTTTTTCTACCTTAACCACCTATTTTGACTAGCCTATATAGTAAGGCGATTCGGAAGGCAAAGGGAGCGTCTTAGGAAAGATTCTGTCAGACGACAGAAGAAGTTCCCGTGGCCTCTCGTCTACGAAAGATCCTCTCAAAATAGGCTCAATTAGAGACTATTTGCAACTCCTGAGAATGAATCAGAAGGACTCAATCTTTCCGTCCTGCCAATAAATTTAACTACGGTCGTATATTTACACCAAACAGCGTCCGTTGGGCGATGGGGTGTCATGGAATTCTATCCACTCTCCTTATAAAAGGGACTGAGACCCATTCTACTAGAATCTTTTTAGGGGGAGCTACTCCCTAAATTATATCCCCAATGACTGGAGAAAGCACAGATTTTTGTAGTCTGTGGAAGGAAGGTAGATGTGATTTTCATTCCTAAGGCAGGCAACGGGCCCAGGGACCAACCTAAGAGCTACCGACCTATCAGGTTATCGCCCTTCATCTTTAAAGGATGGAAAGAATATTAGGGCAATATAAAAAGAACATGCCCCTTAAAAAAACCTTCACACCAACCAGTATGTTTACCAAAATGGACGCTCTACAGAGACTACCCTTCATAACCTCATCTCTAAGAATGAGAAAAGCATGCTGGACAAAGAATGCATTTAGGGTGGCATTCAATCATGGTGTCTGGTGGTCAACAAGGCCACCACAACCTTAATGACCGGTCGAAGCTTAAATGTGCTTCAATATTTAGGAGTTGAACAACCATTAAACATTCTTGATTGCTGGACTTCATACTACATGGCTCCCGAATACCTCCACGACAAATCCTTTAAAATGGTCCGGCATGTAAGTATCGTAGGCTTCGCTCCAAGTCAAAGGAAGCGGAGGGAATGGGCCAAATTACGCTCTCTCAAAGACCTTAGGAACCACTCCTACAGTATTTCAAGCCGAGATTACAGCTATAATCAGGTGGACAGAACGTGCGGCAAAAGGGCTATTGGGTGCGAGCATTTACATCTTCTCAGATAGTCAGACAATTCTCAAGGCTCTAGCAGCCTTCTCCCCTGACCTCCAAGCTACTCATGGAATGCCACACAAAACTGGAAGAAGTAACCAGGCGTTACGTGAGTGTGCGTACCAAACCACGAAGGGATAGCCGGAAACGAGGAGGCTAATCACCTCGATAATCCGGTAAAAACATCCCCAATTTGGACGGAATCCCTACTGTTGTGCACCAGCAAGTCTATTTGGAGGAGTGATAAGAAGCAATCTCAGAAATGAGTGGAAATAGCTATGAGAATTTGTCCCTGGACTAATAATAATAATAAAGTCTTTTATTAAATCATGCCACACACACAATTTAACAGGGCGAAGTTCAGATGTTGGGCTACTCACAGCGACCCAACTCTGCTCTTACACTTAACCCTACTATAATGAAAAGAAATCAAAATCTAATTGGGAATTGTACAGAAAAATAAAGAATTACTTTGTAATGGGACAAAAATAAGTACATAAATAACTTTATGAAATACAAAATGTATAAAATAAATAACTTACAGTCACTGGGTTATAAAATTTAACTCAAATCAAACGTTTGCCTAGCAAAAACAATGTTATGAAGTGCCTTCTTAAATTTCCCGACGGGTATGTTTCTTAAACTATTGCTATTTTTTAGAAATATTGTATGAAAATGATCTTTCATATAATGCCGTTTTATGAATTGGTGATATAATTAAGTTAACGAATCTAGGGTTGTTACTAAATTGAATTTTGTTGTATAAATAAACAGGTTCATTCCTTGTTACCACTTTATGGTATAAGACCATCTCATGCACATATCTACGATTTTTCATACTTAGCAATCCGGTTTCTTTTAATTTGTGTGATATACGAGTATGATGATGCTTTCTTATTCCATAAATTAGTCTCAAACAGGAATTTTGAATTTTTTGGATTTTATTGGAATCATAAGTATCCAAACATGGTCCGTACACATTAGTACAATACACAAACTGTAACAGGACAAGTGAGTTACAAAGCGAAATTTTCATTTGTTGATTAAGTATAGAACGTTGATTAAAAATTAATTTTAAATTTGAGTACGCTTTTCTTATCCTATTTGAAACAAGTGATTTAAATCTCAACTTGGAATCAATTTCTAACCCAAGAACTTTCACATCATCTTTAATTGGTAGAATTTCATCGCCCACTTTTATAATTATATAATCTTTCCAGGCCTCTCTTTCTTTTGCTCCTCCAAAGATGATTACAGAGGATTTTAATGGGTTTACTTTTAAGTTAAGTTGTTTCGCCGATTGTAATAAGTCGTTGAGGTCACTATTGATTCTCTCATTCGCAAGGTCTAAATCTTTACTAAAGAAATTATATTGTAACTGCGTATCATCAGCATATTGATAGCACGTTGCATATTTCAGGCAATTGGGGAGGGTGGCAGTGTATATAATGAACAAAAGAGGTCCCAACACCGACCCTTGTGGAACTCCCATTGCTACAGGTGTTGACAATGATTTATTATTATTCAATACTACCTGTTGCGTCCGATCAGTAAGATAGTTCTTAATCAGAGCACACGCATTGTTGCTAAAGCCAAAATAATGCAAAATGCTTATCAATATATTGTGATCTATTAAGTCGAACGCTTTAGTAAAATCTAGTGATACCATCACTGAAGTTTTCCCTGATCTAAGGCTGAAAAAATATCGTCTGTAACATTCAACAACGCGGTGCTGCAGCTATGGTTTTCTCTAAACCCAGATTGTGACTGTGGTAATATATCATTATCAGACAGATGGTATTTTATCTGAGATGCCATAATCTTCTCTAAAATTTTAGAAAGAATTGGTAAAATGCTTATTGGTCGCAATTGAGAATAACTTTCAGGATTACTAACTTTCGGTAGTGGTATAACATTGGCATTTTTCCAAATTTTTGGTACTGTACATGATTTTAAGCAAAAATTTATTATGTAGGTTAAATGTGGTGCAATATAAGGGCAACATAAACACAACATTTTTGTACCAATTCCATCTGATCCAACAGACTTTGTTTTAATACTAAATAACACATTTAAAACATCCATCTCGGTAACTTCACGAAAATGCAACGTACTAACAATTTTCTCACATGTATGCTCGGTGTAATACTTAACTGTATCAGAAGCTATCCCAAGATCAGAATCTACAGAGCTTGTAAAGACTTTATTGATGGCATTCACATCAGATAGATTTGGTGGCACAGTTAATTTATCTTTCGAGTATACATTGAGATCTCTCAAGTTCTTCCAGGGAACTCCCTTTCCTAGCTGTTGGAGTTGGTTTTCCAAAAATGCTTTCTTTTCCCTTCTAATAGCCTGAGTGGTATAATTTCTAATTGCCTTATAATAATTCCAATCTGTGCACGATTTTGATTTTTTAAATTTCATTAAAGCCTTATCACTAAGACAATGCAAGAAGCTGATAAGTTTCCAGAGACTAAAATCCGCTCTTACTAGCACTCACACAAATAAACTAAGGTTATACAAAGACCCTGAAAATCGAGGTAGCTGAGGATAAACCGATTTCCGGAAAGAGTGAGAGTGACGCTATAATAGTACCCTAGCAAATTAAGGAGTTGAAGCGGGAGAAGGTCCTCGGATTTTTTTTGAAACTACCTCTTTCGAGAAAAAGACATTGGGGCACGCCAATATATCCAAGGATAAAACGCGTAGACGTGATATAGCCCAATACAAGGAGGAAGAAAAACGAGACTAGAGGAGGAAGACAATGCGAGAAATTTAGTGAAATAAATTTAAATATTAAGTTTCGAGCTACTTGCACCATGATAAGTTCAGGAACCTGTCAAACCCTGAAAAAACTGAGAATTAATATCATTGACTGTCGAAATTCAAGAAAGCACCATACAGAAACAGTGATCCAGAACGCTATGGTCGTAAAGTAGAGCTTCAAGAAAAAACCACCTAGGAAAAGTGAACAGGAAAAGAAAGAATCTCCTTATAACTGTAACCTATGTGGAAAGAAAGGACAAATGGCCAAGTTTTGAAACCAGACAGAGAAGAAAAACCACTCAAAGTAAACGTAAATAACGTGGAAGTAACAGCGATGTATTCTGAAATAGGAGGATTTCTCAAATATGGGATAAGCAATTGTTGTATTGACCACGGATGTATGTCACACTTCGGCAAAGTGGTAGAGAACTTCAGAAATGTTAGAATACAAATGTAGTGAAGTTAAAACGCGCCAGTAATTCGTCGACGGAGATCAAAGGAAGAGGAACTGTTGAGATTAAGTCGGATTTTAACTGGAAAAGTCGAGGACGTCAGAATTCTACAAACGTTGTACGTTCTAGATCTGACAATGGACCTCCTAGCTGCGGGAATCATAACAGACAAGGGCATGATAGACACCTGAGCCCCCCCCCCCTTCTTCGATGTCATATCAGCCTCCCGAGCTGCCTAGGTTTAGACAGGAATTCTGCACCTCCAAGCGTCGCTTGGTCCTCACCTGAGACCCAGATAGCAGCCTTGCGGAGTGTAGAAAGGCAGGCTCCCTGCAATCCCTGAACGTGGGTACTAGTCTAGTGCATTTTAGGGTGAAAAAATGCTGGTAAAGAATCTTGGCCAGGCGATTTTGTACCACATCCGCCTGGTTAGCCGTTAGCCTACCCAGAGGGTTATTGGTATCTATAATCGCTGCTTTGAGTCTTTGAATCTATCCTAGACGCCAAGGCTACAAGCAGAATATAGCTTCTAAAGTAAAAACAGGCTCGATTTCGCTTATATTTTTCCTTATAAATAGCAAAAGTAAGACAAGAGACTCGGTGCTTCTTTTTACAAATTTTTTAACCAAGCTTGGGTACATCTCCTCTCTTATTCCGGTCCTGTAATATCATAATTCTCAAAATAATGTATACCAATCCTCAGTTTGTTCTGTTTAGAATTTGGAAATCTCATCTTTAAAGTTTCTTAACTCCACCTTGTAGCAAGGAAATAAGGCAACTTCTGACTGATCAAATTGTATTTGCACCACAGGACCGATAAGTTTCAACGAAATTTTAAAATTCTCATTTCAATTACTTACATATTTGTCCCCCTAGTTTAATTTCTTGCAGCATCCTGCGGTATTCATTCTAAAGTAGTGCGGGAAAACATTACAAACTTTATGTGTTCGAAAACCGCCAAACTTTTATACGAAACGTCAACATTATAAAGGTAGTTGGTTGAGTTAGAACTCGCAAATTTAATCTAATTACCTGTCATACTAAATTGAGGTCCGATATAAGCTCGCAAGACTTTTGCAAGCAACTTTAGAACTTCATAAACTTTACGTTTATTGCACATAAAACTTCTCGTAAAGCTGTTTCATTATTGTAATTACTTACCTTAAATTAAAATGAAACTTCCTCCTTAATGTCTCCTTTAACGTTTTGGGAGGACGCGTTTTATATTAGTTCGATAATACTGTAGCCGTAATTGGTTTTGTTACAGTTCCGCCGCGTATTCATTTCGTCAGTCACATGGGACCATTGGAAGTCGTTCAGGGATCTACGGTGAAGCTGGAATGTAGAGCGTCGGGAAATCCCGTTCCAACGGTCGCGTGGACGAGAAAGAACAACGTCCTTCCGAGCGGTGAAAGATCGGTTAACGGATTATCTCTGGTAATCCAGCATGCGGATCGGCATTCCGCCGGACAGTACCAATGTTCGGCCGACAACGGCGTTGGACAGCCGGACAGTCGCCATATAACTCTTAGTGTTCGATGTATGTCCGTGAAATAGTCGGCGAATTTGGGCTAAGCGTTACTGATTACAGATGCTCCGGAAGTGGAAGCCGAGCGCGCCACTGTCCATACAGGGATCGGTCTGGAAGCGCACCTGGTGTGCATTGTTCACGCTGAGCCTCCACCTCAAGTTATTTGGTATAAGGATACCACCCAGCTTGGCACCACCGAACAACACGCGGCCCAATCGCGAGGTAACCGATACACTTTGGTCATCAGGAACGTGACCGATGTCGACTTCGGCAATTACAGGTAAGCACCCCCTAATTGAGGACGTCACTAAATTTCTGCGTGTTACAGTTGCGTCGCTGCTAATATCCACGGTAAAGCAAGAGGTCACCTACTTTTAACCGGAACGGCCGGCCTGGCCGTCTTCGACTCACCGTCCCTGGGCCACGAGAAAGAGGTTTACAACATCTCCTGGTCCGTAAACAGCCACGCCGCCGTCACCGAGTACGAGCTCTTCTTCAGGCAGAGATACCTACACCGATCCCACCACATCCACGACAACGGGACGATCATGAACAGGAACGACCGGTGGAACAGTGTCGTCATCACCGCCCAAGGCATCACCAATCCCCTGCTGCCAGCACCGCCACCGTTCCCTGGCGTAACCAGGCAGAAGATGTCGTACATAATTAGAGGTCTGCAACCGGCGACCACCTACGAGGCGCGCGTACAGGCCAAAAACGTGCACGGTTGGAATAAGGTGTCGCCGATATTCCACTTTACTACTAGAACGAATGGTGAGTAAATAATGTATTTTGGTAAACGCACTATTAATAGAAGGTACAGCTCTTGTATTTCGCGGGTGATTCATATGTTGTCAATTAGTGTACGTTTTTCGCTGACCATGCATTCACTCACCATTACCTTCTTGGCAGGTACTTGATTTTAAATAATTACCTATAGTTGTCACTTCTTAATTCTTATTTAACAATATGTTCAGTTGTAAGTAAACTTTAAAGCTTTTTAGCAAAATAACACAAATTTTACGGTCATTTAGGTGAACATTCCTCTTTTTCAAGTTTCCTGAAACTCTACTTCCAAGACTTGGTTTTTTGAATTTCTTGCTCGCAAAATTAAACACCGACTGACCATAAATTTTCGAATGTATTGATGACAAGTTTGAATAATTAACTAGTTCCAATGTACACTTCCTTTACACATTTTCTTGTTTGTAATTTCAAATTAATTAAATTAAGTGCATGACCACGATCTCTGTGAATTGACCTTGACTTAATATTAAATTTAATAGACGACATTTTGTATATAAAAAACCATCTAATAAACTTTTCATATTGAACTTTCTTTGTTGAAATCAAAACTTTAAATGCAAAACTATTTTTTTTCCTAGTGATTCAATAAATTCACCAAAAAACCATGCAATACCAATGGCTTTAAATTGTTGAAAAATTATTATTTTTACGACAGTTCAAAACCAAATTTTCCTTAATAATTTTTTAATGTCAGTAAAGGATACAGTTTCGTACAAAGTGATGCGAAATATAAATTGGAATTTCCTGTTGGATACCTTTTCTTCTCCGAAACTGTCAGGGAGTTGTTTCTCTTTCAATAAAAACGTCATCCTCAAGTTTGTCGATCGCAAGGAAGCAAAAGCTTTATTTCCGTTAAAGTTTGCTTATCTACTAAAGACTATAACTTTTTGATGGTTACGAATTCAACAAACAAAGTTAAATCTTCATCTTCTGTTGTTGTATTTGTGCATCCCTTTTTGTCAGCTCATTTACCGTCTTTTCTCCTACTCCTCTCCTCATTCCCGCATCCATTCCTTGCGTAGTATTTTCCTCTTTGTTCTTCCCACATTCCTTTGGCGTTCTACCTCGTTTTCAAGCATTCGCTTTCTCTATCGCCCCTTTCCTCGAATCTGACCGATTTGCGCACCCGACGCTATCTTTGTTTCTTCCATTTCTGCTTCCTCCTCTAATGTACAATTCGGTGTCCTTCCGTTTAACCCTAATACCCATTTATAATACCTTCTATGTACTTCTTCCAGTTCCTCCCATTCCTTCCTTTTCCATATCACCGTTACGTACATGAGCACCCATCTCTAGAATCGTTCTTGAACCCCATCCCACCAATTCCCCACACCTGTCTCACCACCTTCTTTCACATTAGTTCTTTGGGAATTTGCCTAATTGTTGCTTTCCATTTGGTACTCTAAATATTTAATTTCTTTTACCTTTTCCTCTCCTCCTTTTCCTTCAACCCCTTTCCCAATCTCATCTCCTTCCCTTCTATTCTTATTCCTTATCTAGTCTCTCCATATATTATTATTATTATTTATTTCCATGCTTCATTACAGGAATTTCCCAATTACAACGAAGCAGTTCACTTGTAAATATATACATTCACAAAATAGATATACAGAAATAAAGAGAACTAAACCTAAATTATAACATCGATATTAATAATTGTAATGGAACTTAAAAAATTGATTAATGACATTATTTAACGTAACTTATTTATAATTTATAGATGATACAATTTATAATTTAAACTTAAAAAATAAAATAAAAAATTATAAAAGCAAAACTATTTAAAAAAAACTATAATAATGGGCAATGAATTCATAACAACTACACAGTATCAATACAGACTTTGAGAAAAGAAGATTGAGAAGCAAGAAATATGTCGATATGCAACGAAACATTGTTATAGAGGCTAACATGGCAATTAATGGCGAATGAAACATCATATTTGTTATATAGTTCCTTGATTCTCTCGTTTAACGCCTTGTCAATTTTCCTAATTTCCATCATTTTTCATACCGTTTTCCCTTTCCACTCTGTCAAACGCTGCTCCTCGTTCTCCTGCTTTCGTTCTAGTAACTTGATGAAATGTTTCCATTTCTCTAAATGTATTTCCCTCCCACTTGTCATATTTTTCTTCTTCCTTCTGTTTAACACCTTCCAAAAATCCTTTTCTGTTGTTAATTCCCTGATTTGCTCTTCGTATTCTTTCTATCGCTCCACCTTTTTTCTTCACATTTTCTTTTGCACTTTCGTTTCTGTTCTGGGACCTCTTTCTTTCCCCTCTTCTTTCTATCTCCATCGCTTCTCTATATTTCTCCATTTTTGGCGGCACGACGCCTTTCTTTTTTTTTCTCCCCTATACTTCAATTATTTGTTTTTTTAATACCCACCATTACATTATTCCCTCCTATTTCTTGTCCTTGTTCGTCTAGTCTCCCTCTATACAGAGTGGCCCAACGAGAAGTATACAGAGGGCTTTTGGGGTATTAAATTTAGAAATTTCGAAAAATCCTCGAACACGTCAATTTTGTATTCGAGGGGGACAACTTTGGGAATACAAATCACGAACCCAAGTCTTCACCCCTCTACGCAGGGAGCTTAACCCTTAAAATTTTAAATGGAATCCTATGGCAAGTGGCACATTATTTGAAAGCCAATTTAATCGTGATTACTAATATGCTTTGCTTTTTAAATTCTATTGATTCGTTACGGAGATATTCGCATTTGAAATGGTTTTTTCCCCTGATTTAAGTCCTATAGATTACTTCTTGTGGGGATATTTAAAGAATAAAGTTTATGCTACTCGGCCCGGAACATTATAAGGGTTGCGAGCACGTATAACCATACTGTAAGAATAGAATACACTATGGTATAACCACAGAAAACAGTTGTCTGTAGTATAACTCAACAATTTCGAGCTATTACCCCTGAAATCTTGCAACATGTACGGCAGCGTTTTGAAGCAAATCTTTATTATTGCATGGAAGCAGGCGGAAGGCAATTCGAGCATTTATTGAAATAAATGTTGTGTTTAAAGTTATTTGTTATTTTTTGCACAATTTAAACCTTTAAAAATTTTAATACAGGGTGAATTAGATCGCATTTGTTTTGGTTTTTTTAGAAACCATTTCAAATGCGAATATCTCCGAAACGAATCAATAGAATTTAAAAAGCAAAGCAGATTAGTAATCACGATTAAATTGGCTATCAAATAATGTGCCATTTGCCATAGGATTCCATTTAAAATTTTAGGGGTTAAGCTCCCTACGTAGAGGGGTGAAGACGTGGGTTCGTGATTTGTATTCCAAAAGTTGTCCCCCTTGAATACAAAATTGACGTGTTCGAGGATTTTTCGAAATTTCCAAATTTAATACCCTAAAAGCCCTCTGTATACTTCTCGTTGGGCCACTCTGTATAACTGCACCGTGCCTTTTGTCCACAACTGTATTGCCCTTGTTCTTTGCGTCTTTTCATTTCTTGATATTTTCTCTTTTAGACTCAATTTTATAGATTGGTGATCCGATCTGAAATTCATCAATTTCTTTCAGTATTTTTGTCATTTACTGGCCCCTTCCTTCCTCTAATGTATAGGAATTCCCCTCCCAATCTTCCCCCATATTTCCGTTTAAAATTCTCCAACCTCTCTTTTCGGATCATTTCAGTAACATTTCTCCCTCTTTGTTTTACTCTTTATTTTCTATATTGTGTTCGTCCCTTTATATTGTCCTTCTTCGCAAATTGGTTCTTCCATGTGTATTCATTTGAAATCCTGCTCTTTATTTCCTCCCAATCCATTCCTTCTATCCATGATTCTTCTATTTCCACGACATCATATTCTCTTACAAACTCCCAGAATTAAGCATCTTTACCACCTATCCCCGCTATATTACAGAATAACATTTTCATTTTGCCCTTCTCTATTTTAATTTCGTCCCCATATGACACTATCATGGTGTCGCTTACTAATGCGGCCGCCTCTTCCACCTGCTCTGCTTTCCTACAGAGCAAAGGTAGCCAATCGCTCTGCCAATTTCGCCACATAGCAGTCCCAGTCACCGAATTGGGAATTCCGAAATCTACAAGATCCGCAGTGGGCGCCAGGTTGAGTTGGAATGTGAGCGTGGTTCGGAAACGACGACTAATAAGACACCCTCCAATTCGTGATCAAGTGGTTTAAGAAGCAATTGGATTCGAAAACCCCCCGAAATGCGCTCCTCTTGTGTCGGCTATCATGGATCTCCGACTCACTGATGGAGCCTACAATTTCCGGAACCCATTATGAAAACAATACTCTATACAATTTAAATACGCAGAAAAAATACGATTAAAGTGGAACTAATAATCTGCCCACAAATCTAAATTCACTCAGATTGAAATTACCAGGCTCTTCGGCTATCCAGCTTACTCTCTACTAGCAAATCTACAACAATATTCACCCCTAAATAATCTCCGAAATGAACACCATGACCTTGAATACTGCAGATATTTGACTGACTGAATTTCAGATTTTGTGACAGGAGAGTCTGCTGCGAATTTCACATTTTGAGTTTTTTTGACACCTTAGACACAATTTTAATTACTGTTCTTCCTTTTCAGAAATAGAAAATATGGTAGAACCATCAGCACAACCGGCAGTTTACGGCGTAAGTCAACAGGGTATATCACCATACAGCAATCAAGCATTCCACAACTCGATCTCCACTAGAATTTCCCTATTCACCATAATAGTTGTGTTTGTGTCGTTCTAAGTGAGTGAAAATTAGTTGAAAGCACTGAATTTCTTTAAATTATTTAAAGTGCGACTCTCCGCGAGGAAGCCATAAGTGTTGACGATGATAGTAATGTAAATTTTGTGATACCAAAGTGTTTTATTTTAAATGATCTTGTGAACAGAAAGAGGAAGGTAAGCGACAGCACTCTTCAGACAATGTTTTATAACTATCGGTGTTTCCATTTAGAACATCTGTGTTAAAAATTTGTAATTAATGTTACCTTGATAGATCACACTCAGACTTCTTTCATCACGCGTTTGGTTGTTTGATTGTGAAAAAAAAATACGGCACTAATCCAGGGATAGGATGCGCCCGATCCTTTTGGCAGAACGATTACGTGAAATACAAAGTAAAATCAGCTGAAACATTTTTATCTCGTTTATACGCAAAAGAAAGGAAATTTCAATTTATATCTCTTTTGTTGTTTTCACTATAAAGAATTTTGCTCTGTTTATATGAACGAAAATTCTATTACGCCGAAATAATTTGAAAGCCTGATGTTTCACTTTGTAAGCATTTTAACAGTTTTTTTCAATTTACATCCCCTGTCTTGCGCAATGTAACAGATGTAGTGTTTTACTGTAGCCGGACATCGCCCTTAACTTGAAATTAGTTGGAACCGATCAAACTGAACTGAAGGCGTCCTCTCGCTCTTGAGGGATCCGACGGCGCGTGGTTTTCCGTTCTTCAATGAGTGTAATAATTGTAAATGTATTAAAAACATAATAATTATATAGAAATGTTGTTGTAAATTTACAGATGTGCATTTTACATTCGTTTTCCTATGAGACACTGCTTATCTGCTCGGCACATTATTTTATTAGATCTACGTAAGATGTATATAAAGACTGAACTATTTTTATAAGTGCAATAAGATTTATTATTGTATTAGACGAATGATACTGTAAGATTCTGTAAAAAAAAAGCTTATTAGATTAATAAACACACTACCGAATTTTAACAGCAACTTTTTCTCTGGTAACGATCGGGGCCGACGTGGTAAGGTAAGTGTGCATTTTGTTAGCTATTTAACTATTAAAGAAAAGCGGAAGAATTTCCATCATAAAGATGTTAATCTTAATACTCGGCCTTTTCTCCACAGTCTATCTAGCGTTATAAAAGTAAAATGTGGCCCTTGAGGAAACTGGAGAGCCGTTTTAAAATTTTCATTTACTGATTATAAATTCGAGTGAGAAAAATGGGACCACTATGTTAATTTACCTGAAAATAGGAGTGTAATGCATCTTTTAACTTGGGTGAGCAGTGACTTTTATCGCGCGTAATTCAAATCTTTTGTGTAGGTTTCAACTGGGTGTAATAAATGGCTGTAATGTAAAAAAATTGGGCGCGCTTTTTTTTAAAATCACCATGCAAAACATGAGAAGAATGAAATTCAACAAAAACTAAGAGGTAAGTTCATACTGAATTATAACACAAAATTTAAAAAACCATCCAAAGGTATTTTTCTTAAATAAGAAAATGATATTACAGACTTAATATCACGCCTTGTTTTCCTTTTTCTTTTAAATAGAAATAGAGCTACAAACAAAATTCCTTGAAGCCCAATTTAATTGCACTGACTAATCTTGAGGATTCGAGATGTCCATGAACTTGACAGGCCTACTACAGCAGACTATGGTTCTGCTTATTCATATCGTTAGTGTTCCGTTAGTCCACGTTTGTGCCGCTGAAGAAATCGTTAGTGCACAAAAGGAAACTTACTATTTTTAAAAAATATTTGTGGGCCTGCTAACTTCATGCCAGCAGACCCATTTGAGAAAATCGATGCAATCTTTACACTAGTTAAACTAGCAGCGTTAGAGCTCGTTAGTGCCGCCAATATAAGCGTTAGTGCTCAAAGTGTAACAGCTCAAAACGCTGTAAAAAGGGGTCTGCTAACTTCATGCAGCAGACCCACATTTGTCAAATTGGCCCTGTCCTAATGCGAAAGTTCCAAGATTGGGCTACTAGTTCAAAAGTTAGGGCCCTTTGAATTTTATTTCGAAATTGGTTTCTAGTCTGTAACTTTTGATTGAGAAGTCTGATCGAAATAGTACGAATTGTTTTGGATTCTACGCATCAAAATTAATAAGAAAAAGTGTTTTCCCGAATTTTATTTCGAAATTGGTTTCTAGTCTGTAACTTTTGATTGAGAAGTCTGATCGAAATAGTACGAATTGTTTTGGATTCTACGCATCAAAATTAATAAGAAAAAGTGTTTTCCCGAGAAATTTTGGTGCAGTCGATTTTTGGCAAAAAAGGAAGGTAATAACTGCCTTTTTTTGAGGCCCAAAAAAAAAATTTTCTCAGATCGACCCGGAAAAAAATTTTCTTATAGAATGTGGCCTGTAGAATCCATAATTTCAAACAGTTCCAAGATTGGGCTACTAGTTCAAAAGTTACGGCCCTTTGAATTTTATTTCGAAATTGGTTTCTAGTCTGTAACTTTCGATCGAGGGGTAATTCACCCTTGAAATCAGGTGTACGCAAGTACTGAAATCACAATGAAATCACTTGAAATCACCTGAAATCACATTGAAATCACTTGAAATCACCTGAAATCTCCTGAAATCACTTGAAATCACCTGAAATCAGTTTGAAATCGCTTGAAATCAAATTGAAATCTGGCGGTAATCGCTCGAACGAAAACCAACGACAATTTTTTCAATTGAATTTTAAACTTATTACGTACCGTGATTAGTTACGATCAGTATACGCCAGAGAAAGTCTCAGGTATACGCCCTTCTTTAAAATTATAAGCTATTTGCTTACGCATCAAATAAAATCAAGCGAACTAAGTATATTTTGCGAGTTATTTTGTGCTCATTATTGTCAATAACGAGGTCAGTAATAACGTGAGGGTTGTAAGGTAATTACACCGCACTTAATGTATCTTTGTTGTTATTAATTTTCGCTAATTAAAAATATGTGATTTATAACTGCCGAGCAGAATTGTAAATTGACAGATTACGTTTAGCTTTAGCAAAGTGCAAATTATTAACGAGCTCCTAGCGAGTTTATAATTTTGCGGTGTCTGTCCGTCTGTCCCTCCGTTTACACGGTATCTCGATAACGAATGCACCGATTACGATAAAATTTAGTAGATCGATTATTTATCAAATTTGTAGATCGGAGTTCGTGAATTGGCAATGTAACCCAAAAAATAAGGAAGGCCCTTTTGATATCTCCGTGAGTTATGAACCGAATTGCATGAAATTCAATATGCGTATAGCTTTAGCCGTATAAAACGCAATTGAGCCTAATCGATCAACATTCACAGTGCCCTTTTCGCATCTCGGCCATTTATATAAAACGAATTGCAAACTTTTTTATTTATGAAAGTATTTAAATGAAATTTCATACATACACACTTTAAATAAAAGCAAAACTAACATCAGGTTTAAAATTTGGTTTTGCACATGCTATAGCCATACTCAGGAGCTTGTTTTCTATATTTGTTTAGTTTATTTATCTCTGAAATAAACTCTTAAAATCTTTACAATACTTATTGAATTTAGCCAGGTTTTGAGACATATTATTAGAATGAGTCATCGTGAAATATTATGGTTGATTCAAAAAATAACAAATCCCGACCTAGAGCTGACATTGCTGCTTTGTTTTCATAAACAAGGATTTGCAACGTGTTAAGACTGAAACTAAGAAATATCCGTCGCCGCTGTTGGTGGTTTGGTCTCGATTTACCAATTTAGAATTAGTACGCACTTTACTTCTTATGGACAAACCTGTTATAGTGTTGTGAACGAGGTTGTTTTTTCTAAATTTTATACAGATCTGGTGTTTTGTATGTGTACCAAGACAGTGAACAAAAAAAAACTTGAAAAAATGGATTCCAGCAGTGGGCTTGCATATTATGTAGATATTGAGAAGAGAAAAATAAACCTTAAATATTATTTTAGAATTGACTATGTATTGCTTTTTATCTATCTATGTTGTGTTGAATTTTCTCCACTAAATCCTAAAACAACATTTTTTTCTTATTGTTGGTGCGCCGTAATTTATGTATTTCTGTAGACAAGATGTGAATTATGTGATTAGACATCATTTAAACTGACATCCCATTGAAATCACCGAGAATTCACACTAAAATCCCATTGAAATCACACTGAAATCACTTGAAATCACCTGAAATCATTTGAAATCACCTGAAATCACTTGAAATCATCTGAAATCATTTGAAATCAACTGAAATCGCCTGAAATCCTCTGAAGTCTTGAAATCAGTGTACATGATCTCATCGAGTGAATTACCCCTCGCTTTCGATTGAGAAGTCTGATCGAAATAGTACGAATTGTTTTGGTGTTTTCCCGAGAAATTTTGGTGCAGTCGATTTTTGGCAAAAAAGTAAGGTAATAACTGCCTTTTTTTGAGGCCACAAAAAAAAATTTTCTCAGATCGACCCGTAAAATAATTTTATTATAGAATGTGGCCTGTAGAATTCATAATTTCAAACAGTTCCAAGATTGGGCTACTAGTTCAAAAGTTACGGCCCTTTGAATTTTATATCGAAATTGGTTTCTAGTCTGTAACTTTTGATTGAGATGTCTGATCGAAAAAGTACGAATTGTTTTGGATTCTACGCATCAAAATTAATAAGAAAAAGTGTTTTCCCGAAAAATTTTGGAGCAGTCGATTGTTGGCAAAAAACAGGGCAAAAAAGGAAGGTAATAGGTCATAGTGTAACTGTGCCACATTTCACATATTTAAAAGCCGTCTTTGAAAATCCTGTTGAAAATTCACTATGAAATTGAAATTAATGATCATATTCATTACACTATAAAAGTTGATCGTATCATGCCGCCATGGAAATACTACGGTCCATTCTTGAAGGCCTCAAAGAAAATTTGGATTTGGATGTTTAGTGCGATTTCTCGGAAGTTTCATTTACGACGAAAATTGAACAGGCCAACGTTATCTTTATTTCCTACCAAATGAATTTCAAAATATATAAGGTGGGTTAGATTTGGAAACACGACGTAATTTACGCTGGTTTCAACACAACGGTGTCCCGTCGCACATCTGCAAGTACGCACCTAAACCAACTATTTCCAAATTTATGGATAGGTAGGAACGGGGCGGTCCTTTGGTCACCAAGATCACCAGATCTTTCAATTTTATATTTTTTTCTTGTCGGTGTTCTAAAAGGGTTTAATTTATCAGCGAACGTACGCCACAAAAGAAGAACTACGTGATGCTGTGGTAAATTCCTTTCGCAGTTTAGATGGCAGGATAATACGGAAAGATGTAAATTGCTTGTGCGTAATAGTTATTTACATTATTAGTGCGGGAACAGTTATTTTGAAGATGAGCGCGAAGTTTGGCGGCGCGAGTGCGCAACCGCGAGTGCGCAACGCGCACGAGCGACGCATCTCGCGCGAATCAAGCAAATACTGTTCACGCACGTAGCATGTATTCTATTTTTTGCACGGATTAGTTAAATCGAATTTATATAAATTCAAATCCTTTTCGCGAGATTTTTGCGACATTATAATTCTATTGAAAAAATCAAGTCCTGTATGCCGATAAAGTAGAAATTTAAAATGTCAATTTATTGTTAAAAACTTCTGGTTTAAGCTTATTTTTGCCCGTGTACTACAGGGAATGATGTAAAGTGTATTTATATTTTCTTTTTTACTCTTCCATCATGCTACTTATTAGTTTATGATCCGCACTAAATAGATATTTTCGTTGAATTTTTAGGCACTAGTGCGCGAAAGTAGATAGTCAATTGTAAAATTGACGTTCCCGACGTTCGTGTTTGATTGGGAAAACGCGATTTAGAACGAAGGAGTGCAAAAATATTATTGGTGAACATTTTCAACATTTTCCGAGACAGATTAATTTTTTGTGTGAAAAAACCCACCCTGTATATATGTGCGACGTAAAAACATCTTAGCAGCCTCCAAAATATCAAACGCACGAATATGCA